TAAAATATTATATAGGTATAAAGAGGTAGTACTGCTATTAATGAATTTAAGTCTCAGAGGTTTTGAATTGAGTAATAAGTTTGTGGATTAAGTGTGTACACAATGGGGGATAGGGTCTACTAGTTAACTACGGGTTTATCTGAGGATGTGCAGGACAAGAGTTAAGTCACATAAAGAAGAACAAAAGAGGAAAAGGTGGAAAGGATAGGAAAGTGAGAAGAAAAGATCAGAAGTTCAGTAGAGCTAGACAAAAAACAAAAAGATAATTAAGAATGAAAGAAAAAGAGAAAGAAGACAAGAAAAGAAAGGAAAACACACATTCATGTATTCCTAAAATAAAAATTATAAGAGGAGAAAAAAAAATTACTGGAAAACAATTATTTTTTCGGAAGAGGCAAAAATTAAAGATTAATAAAAGTTTTAGAAAAGCAAAAAAAATTTTTTATATATATAAGGTAACAAAAAACGAAAAAAAAAAAACAAAACAAAAAAAAGAAAAAAAGAAAAGAAGAAGAAGAAAAAAAAAAGTTCTTTGATTTTTTTTTTTTTTTTTTTTTGGGAGGGGTGGGAAGAGTCCTGTATCTCCCTTTTGTCTGTAACCAGAGTCTGGTTGGAGTCTCTGGTTGGCTTGAGGTCCTGTGGCTTGATTGGTTTCTTAAGTCAGTTTGTTGGAACAGGCAGAAAAATGCTCTGCTTTACCCAAGATTTTGAGATTCTCCCTCCCAGGTTAGTTTACTGGGAGGGTGATCTGCTTTGAGAATCACAAAAGAGGGGGATGCAGTGATGAGGCTAGGTTCTGGGTACTGTTGAGGCCTTTCAACAAACAGTAGCTTTTCCCTGGGGCTATTTTGTGAAAAAAACTCACAGCACCCAGCCTGGAGCCATTCTCAGGGTTTCTGTTTTTCAATTGATTGTGGTGGCTGCTAGAGGGAGGGGCAGCCTCTGGCTCTGGTTACCCGGTGAGGAGAGCCACTCCAATGGCTGGCGCCTGAGCTGGGTGACTTTTCCCTGGATGGAACTGAGTCTGTGAGGTCACTTCGCCGTTAAGTTCTTGTGACCTGCTAAATGACTAGTTTTATTCCAAGGCCTGAGCTGGAGCTATCCGCTCCTCCGAGCTTTGTTGGTATCCAAGATGGAGATCACCGGTGCTGGGTGGGGGGAGGGGTGGCCTTCCCTCCTCTGCTCCCTGGGAAGGAGTGAGGAAGTCGGGCTTCTACTCACGCCGAGTCTTGGATCCTGGGTCGTCTTTGGTCTGCAAAGTGCAGGATGAAGTTGTCCGCTCCTTGTCGGTTCTTGCTGGTGTTGAGTAGAATCCGCTCGTCTGCTGCGTCTGGCTCCTTCGTCCTGGACTGTGTCTCAGGTATGGCCCCCGCGGCGGCGCCGCGACCCTGCCGCCACAGCAGCAGCTGCTGGCAGGCGCTCAGATGTGTCTGCTTGCCTTCCCCTCTCTTGACTAACGCTCTGTCCTGTGATGGCACACTTGGTGTGATTCTCTGGCTTGGGACTGTTCACTGGAACTATGAAACTGTTTTCTATGCAAGAGCTTGTTCAGATGCCAGCTTCTACTCCGCCATCTTCCCGGAACTCCTATACTTTGTCTTTTGAGGATTTCCATTTTTTTCTTGCCGACACCATAGTACATCTATGTAAATTGTTATTATTTAGCCTCAAGAACTTCTCTGAAGAGGAAGGAAGGATGGCCAATAGACACATGAAGAAATAACCCCTGCTTTCACTGTATTTGATATTGTTATAATTTGTGGAGGGGAAGGGAAAAAACAAATCGTTTTAATAAGGGTACAGGTGGACCCATTGCAACAATGAGTTGTACAAGTACAACTTTGGTGGGGAGGGAGGAGGGTTGGATGGGAGGGTGGGGGAAGATAGGATGGGAAAGGGAAACAAAGGAGGAGGCTACAATGCTTGATAAGAAATGTACTCATTATCTTGCCCATGTAATTGTAACCCCTCTGTACAGTATTTTCACAATAAAAAAAAAGAAATCCTCAACCTTCCTAGCCATAAAAGAAATGTAAATCAGAACAACACTAAAATACCACCTCACCCCAGTTAGAATGGCTATAACCAAGAGCTCTAAAAACAACAGATGCTGGAGGGGATGTGGACAGAAGGGAACCCTACTGCATTGTTGGTGGGAGTGTAAACTTGTTCAACCACTTTGGAAAGCAGTATGGAGGTTCCTCAAAAGACTCCACATAGAGCTCCCCTATGACCCAGCAATCCCACTTTTGGACATTTACCCAAATGTTTACAAATAAGACCACACTAAAGCTACCAGTACAACTATGTTTATTGCAGCATTATTTACCATAGTTAAGATATGGAACCAATGCAGATGCTCCTCAGTAGATGAATGGATCAAGAAAATGTGGTATATATACAAAATGGAATTCTATGCCTCCATCAGAAAGAACGACATTGCTCCATTTGTTAGGAAATGGAAAGGCTTGGAAAAAATTATATTAAGTGAAGTAAGCCAGGCCCAAAGAAATATAGGTCCCATGGTTTCCCTTATTTGCAATAACTAGTATATGTCTGAGACAAGCAGAAAAGGTCAGATAAGTTGATGTTAGGCGAAATGAACCCCAAGATAAGTATTCAAATGTTTTTTCTTTCAAGCGATTGTTTCTAACATATTTATAATATGATTTCTATGTTGCTTTGTATGTCCCTCCTCCACGGTATAACCCCTGTTTTCACTGTATTTGACGTTGGTATAATTTGTGGAGGGGAAGGGCAAAAACAAATTGTTTAACTAGGGATACAGGTGGACCCATTGCAACAATGAGATGTACAAGACGTTATGTCAACAACCTAACTTTACAACTTTGGCGTGGAGGTGGGTAGGGGACGGGGCGGGGGAGGGCGGGGTGGGGAAGAGATGAGAAGGGATGGGGAGGGGAAACAAAGGAGGAGGCTACAATGCTTGATAAGAAAGGTACTCATTACCTTGATCATGTAATTGTAACCCCTCTGTTCAGTATTTTTACAATAAAAATAAAAAAGAAAAAAGTTTTTTCTCCTCTGGTATTGGTATCACTGTACTATCAGCGAGTAAAGCTGTTTTATTTTTTCTGTCTTCTTGAAAACCTGTGTCTGTGGCTGGGCTTACATCTCAGTAGTTGAGAACTGGCATAGCCTGCATGAGTCCTTGGGTTCAATCTCCAGCACTGCAAAACACACACACACACACACACACACACACACACACACACACACACACGGCCCAGGTCTTGTTCCTTGACAAATGAAGGCTTTATGTTTGGTATACCCTTTTAGTTTCTGTCTGAGTTATATACCAATTCTCCTATCTATTCCTTCACTAACATGGCTTGCTCTATAAAGAACAATTTCTCATTGAATTAAAGCACTTCAATTGGGAATGAATAAAGCTAACCCTCTGGTAACAATGTTAACTATTTTCAGTTTTAGATTATAGCAGAGTAAAAAACCTCTCTCAATCTGTGTGGTTTTATTCTGTCATAGCTAGTACAATTGATCCTTTATCACAAGTCTGGGGAAAAAGACCATTTAATTTGGTAAAAATCTGCATATTCAAGTAAAGATAATAATCATTCATCAAAGAACCCAATACAATTTGAGAACAAAAATATCATTGCAAAGGTTCTTATCAATCACTTATCTGTTTCAGAAATATAGAAATATATCTAATAATAATCTTTTATGACTTGTAACACGTAGGGCTTATGTCAAGGTATAGTCTCTCTGCAATTATTTTGTCAATTGCAGCTAATAATTTTAGTAATATTAGCTAAAAGTGTAACCTCCCCCCACTGCATCCTACTCTAGGGCTGAAGTGGAGAGAACAAGAACTTGGATTCTATGCAGTGTGGAGTCACTACACACAGCAGGAAAGAACTCTGAATCTGGGCGATGCTGCCATGTACTGCAGCAGTTGTGGTAAGTGAAGGATGCATGCATGTCAGTGGAATTTTCAAGTGCCCCCATGCACAGACAGTAAATGGACAGTGAGTGAAATTGGTGCTATTATCTAGACAAGAGCTGATCCTAAGCAGGCTACAGAAATTGAATGTGACAAAGATGTCTAGTTAACCTTTCAGTAATGTGCTAGACAATATCAAGAACACCAGCTAAACCAGAGTGGGGACAAATATTTGTCTGATCATCTGTTTAGAGTTGTCTGTTAGAAACTTTGAAAGACACTGTGCAATGCTTAGGCTGAAAGAGCTTGAGAGCTTTGATGTGAAGGTGATAAATGTGAAACCAATAAGTCACTGTTTTTATTGTTGGTGGTGGTGGTGGTAGTGGTGGTGGTGGTTGTAGGGCTTGAAGGCCCAGGCACTGTCCCTGAGTATTTTTGCTAGCATTCTACCCCTTTGAGCCACAGCACCTCTTCTGGTTTTCTGGTGGTTAGTTGGAGATGAAAGGGCTCACAGACTTCCCTGCCCCGGATAGCTTTGAACAAAGATCCTCAGATCTCAGCCTTCTGAGTAGCTAAGATTACAGGCAGGAGCCACCAGCACCCTAGCATAAGTCAGTTTTGATACATCATCCAGATACAAAGATGCAATGAGAGATCTATGGTTCAATTAAACAAATTTTGAATAAGTATTACCTTTGTAATACACCTAACAGCTGTTGAAAGTGATTCATTAAGGTCATCAGGCTAAAATGTTTATGTTATTTTCTGGAGATCCAACATCATTCTATTTTTTTCATAATGCAAATGTCTCCATCATATAATATAATTCAGCAGTGATAAATTGAGTGAATAGAGAAGAGAAAAAATGTAATCAATATTCTAGATCATAAATAAATGTGGGACATATAACTGAGAAAAGAATAAGCAAATAGGGAACAAACAGATAAGTTTCAGAAAGTGACAGTATTATGGTTTAAGATTTAAGTAGACAACCTTTTCTTTGAAAAAAAAAAAAGACTAATTTTGCATCAACCAATACAAACAGATCTCAAAATATGTGACCAAGCTTCTGGTGTTTCATCAAAATCGCTGGAACATTAAACATTGTAGAAATGATTGACCCAAGAACCTAAGTGCTTTGTGCATTTATTTTCTGTCTTTAGTTATATGGGAAATTGCTGAAGTAATAAATTGATGCTTGAAATGTTACACTGAACTCCAACTCTAGATGAAGTGAAGGTCAACGTATAAATTATTCTAGGATGAAACAAGATGCAGACAGTCCAGGAGAAAATCTCAACCATGAGCTTCTTCACAAAGGCTTGCAGACATTCTGTGGTTGCTTCTCAAACGAAATATGTACTTCATGGTAAAACAGCAGGCTTGGGGTGCTGCCTGGACCCATAGTATTTGCACTTTACCTCATTTAAATGTGCTGCTAGTTAAAACACAGCTATTTCCTATAGTGATTTCTTAGTGATTCCTAAAGGTCACCAAGAAAAAGTCAGAAGCTCTGTGCTTGTCATGGCAAGGTCTGATTAGAAATCACAGGAGCCCAAGAAGGATAAGTGTAGAGATCGAACATAGGTGCAATCCAAGTGAACATGCCAAGCATCACTACAGCAACACCCAAAATATTAACACCAAGTCCAGCTTTAACCTTGAACAAGAAAGAGCATAAATGTCAGTCTCCTGCAGAGAAAACACACAGGGGAATAAGAATACTGCTAAGAAAGCAACTTGTGAATTCATATGGATCCCAAATGATTAGTACAGATGGTCATGATTCATATCTTAAGAGAATTTGTACTTAAGTAAATATTTCTTAGTTTAAAAAATTAGTTTAGTATTTTGTTGGAAAGGGGTTTTAGAGAGGAAAATACTTCCATTATTATAATTGAAGAGAGAGAAAAATAAACTCTTAAAATCCCTCCTAGCATGGTAAATCAGAACTTAAGTTTTGGGTTTTTTTATTTCAATGGCCAGGTTTCAGGGCTATAGAGTAAAGAATTGTGCACATTCACTACTAAACATTATTCTCAGTTTTTTTACAAATGTTCTGTTCTTGAACTTTTGTGATGTCACCTCTATTCTTTTTTCTTAGTGTTTCCATTTTCTAGATCTTTAATAATGTATCTCATGTCTACTAATTGATGCCTATACATTTTAATAGGGCTTACCAACTTCTGCTCTTGATCTTCTTTCTTCTGCAATAAAGGGTTTGAGCTCAGGATCCTGGGCTTACAAGAAAAGTACTCTACCATTTGAGCCAAACTCCAACCATTCCACCTACTACCCACCACCTCCTTGTTTTCTCAATAGGATCTCACATTAAAGCTCAAACCACTGGGAATCATGAATAGCCTACTTACTCTTTCCACATAGCTAGGATGAAAGATTTGTACCATTACAATAAGCTTTTATTGATTGAGATAAATCATGAAGATTTTGCCTAGTCTGGCTTTGAACCAGGATACTTCCATCTCTGCCTCTAAAGTAGCTGGATTTCAGGTATGAGCTGGCCTTTATTTTTGTTGTTGTTGGTAGTGGTAGTAGAGTTTTACTGGACCACAGTCATACCCAGTTGTTTACATATTGTGTTTGGCTGCTCTGATGCTATACTAGTATTTGTGACAGAGACCATATGTTAACTATCTGGTCTTTATAAAAAATGTTTGTTGAAAAATGCTGAAGTAAGGATACAGGTTGACCCACTGTACCAATGAGATGTACAAGACACTATGTTGGAAACGAACTTTACAACTTGTGGGAGTGGTGGGGGGGAAGGGAGGAGTTGGGGAAGTAGAGAGGAAAGGGATGGTAGGGGAAAAACAAAGGAGGAGGTAACAATGCTCGATAGGAAATGTACTCATTACCTGTAACCCCTCTGTACAATATTTGTACAATTAAAAACATATAAAAATGTTCGTTGACACTTCAGTTCTTCACTTTAAAACATGGAGCCCCAAATCAAAATGGGGGATACTTAGCAATGATTATAGGCATTGGCTCATTTCTCTGTCCACACAGCTACTGGTTTATTCTAGAGTCTGGTTTTTATTCAATTTAATACTTACATAGGACATTGAACACATTGTATTAAGCACATTTAGCTTGTGGAAACATATGGCATGATTAGGCATAAAAACACATGCAGAATTATGATGTAGATATTCAGGAACAGATATCTAGGTGGAAAGATGGAACCTGAACTTATCTTGGGACTCCCTACAGAAATCTTATTGAATTCACTTTGATTATGCTAGGGTTTGGGTTGGCTTTGAAACTGGGGATGAAGGTTGCACTAATTCCAAATAATCTCAGATTAGCTCTTCACTATCACTACTTTTACATTTGGCAAAAATGTGCATGTTTTGTCTCTTCTATTTTCTGTTATTACTTGCTCAAGTGTACAGGTGCCGGTATTAGAATCAGGACAGGAAAAGATAGCTTTTCATCAGTCAGGCACTGAGCCCAGTGTCTTATTCAGAGCAAATGTTGTTTCTTATATATTTGTGATAGAAAACCACAGTGCAGTTTTGATTCCTGGATTCATTAGCTCTGTTTCTTTTTTGTTGTTGTTTTTGGTTTTTTGTTTTTTTCCTGAGTCAGGGTCGATCTTGACATGGTAAGCCTTGACATGGTAAGTTTAATTTGTTGCATTGAGCCATTCTATGTTCTTCTTTTCCCAGCCTGTTGCTCATGCAGCAACACCTCTGAATTTGTAGTTATAAATTCGAATGGCATCTTCACTTCTGGCTACTAGACTTAAAAACAGAATTCTATGACCAGTCATGCACATACCTTCACAAGCAGAACTCACACCATGCTTCCCTAGCTGTTGATTATGGTATAAAAATACAAACTTATTCAAGACATCTCATATGAAAAAAATGTGCATTGGATCTGATAGACTCTCTTAGCTAACTCACCATGTCAATGACTCTCAGATGGCCGTAGGAAAATACAATAGCATTTGGTGGATTTGCTACTGGCAGAAGGAATGCAAAGGAAGTACATAGAGTGGAAGGCAGTAAAATCTGAAGAGGATTCACATGAATGGCTTCAGCCTATCATAAAAGATAAAAAGAAAAGTGCAGTCTAATTTTACAGTAGGCATCACACATCAAAATGAACGATTTTAGTATAAACTTCCCAAGAAGACAGTTGCAACCTAATGATGTCAAATTTTATGCATTAAATGATGTTATAACTTAAAGATTATTTTTTAGAAAGTATCTCCTCTTATAGTTTCTGTTTAAATGGTTAATTTTTGCCTAATTAAACTTTACCATGCCTAATTAAACTTTACCATCCCATTCATTTAGAAAATAAAATATCATTTGGTATAGAAACTATATTCTATTATTTATTATTTATCTAGTGCTTCCCACAGTGCTACTTATATGTATAGGCATATTTTATATATGGTAAGCATAACATATCTATATATTTATATATGTGTGTATCTATATGCATAATATATGTATATATAGTTATAGCAACATAACGAGATGGCTACTACAAGACCAAACAGCAGAAGAGGAAATGGAGGCCCAGAGAAGCTAAAGGAATTTGCCCAAACATATAGAGTGAGCAAGAGACTGTAGGTAAGGTCTCAGGTCCTTGTATCTGTAGACATCTAATTATTCTACCAATCTTAGTGCTTCCAATACAAATGAAACTTAAAATTTACTTAGAGATCATTACAGAAGAGTTGTTACCAATTTTACTTTGTCACATAATTTATAACTTCCATCTTGAAAAAAATACAGAGGAAAATTTCTAAATGGTAGATTACCAACAACTGCTCACAAATAAGCAGTCTTACATTTCCTTTTCTATTTTGAACAGCAGTTCTGGAAACTTAACACAAATCCTAGTGTCAGTAGTAACACAATTCCAGAACTGGAATTCCTCTTCTTTTTATTTTATTTTCTTGTAAAGATGCTGTACAGAGAAGTGACAGTTACATCAGTAAGGTAATGAGTACATTTCTTGTTGAGTATTGTTACCTCCTCCTTTGTTTTTCTTTTTTTAAATGACATTCCTGATAAATTTAAAGTTCTTTCATTTCATCAAACTAATAGCAATAAGAAAAAACATTTTACTTACACATAATTCTTGTAATTGTTACTGAGGTGGGGAAAAAGGAAGAGAGTCTTTCTTTCCAGGCAAACCTAATTCTTGTCTTTTTCTTTAAAAATTTCCCTGGGCAGTAGAAAGCTGTGTCTAAGATATTTAAGCCTCAGGAGTAAAAAATAGCATTTCACTCATCTGCAAATTACTTATATGAAACACTTCTCAGAAATTTAGAAACAATGTTCTGGGGGGAGAAATGTTAGTGCTAGAGATTTAAGTACTAAATTTTCCAGGAAATACTGAGTTCCAAGTCAAAGCTGGAATGGATCTAGAAAAACCCACTCATTCATTTGCATATGACAAACAACCAGATCTGACTGAAGATAAATAGTTTATTGAAAATCATACTACTTGGACAAGTCTAACAGTTTTCTTGTATCTCAAGGTCACCTAAAAGGAACACTAATACAAATAAAGGCCAATCTACAAGTTACCTAGAAATTTAGACCAAAAGAAAGTTTACATCATTTGTTGGATGAGAAGAACATAAATGGAACACATGAGATACTCACCAATGGAGATAAGATTGGGAGAAGGATGGTAATGGTAGCTGGATTGCTGGCTACCTCTGTTAAAGATGTGACAATCAAAGAAGATATCAGAATGATTAGCCATACAGGTAACGAACCTAGAGGAGATAGTTTATTTCCTATCCACTGAGACAGTCCTGATATCTAAAAAACAAATTTGTGGTATTTATTATTCAGTAATAATTCATTTTATTCAGAATTTTAACATATTGCAAAAAATTGTTTCCTCTGAGAACTCAAGAAGTATAATTTCACATTTTCTTGATTGTGGAGGAACCATCAGTCTTATTTCAACACTACACTGTAAATGTGAGAATTTTCGGCCCCCTTTTGCTCAATTAAGCTCTAATTTTCTGTAATTAAATATATGTAGATAGTCTAACTATTCACTCAGGACTATGGAACTCTAAGAAAAGAGCAGTTCTTTCTCTTTATTTCATTACCTCTCCTATGTCTGAGTTGTGTTTTCCACTGGCACCCACTTTCAACCCTTATCGCTAACTTACACATTAAACCACTAATATAATTAACCTTCAAGGTAAGTTTCTAGTCAAGCATTTTTCCAACTTTTCAAATTGAAACATTTTCTGACTTTCTGATATTTTGTGTGAGAATTTCATTTTCTTATATTATCTGACCATGCCTACATTTTGCTCAAACTCATATATCAACCCTGCTGGTTATATCAATATTTAATGCTTAATGCCATGACTATGATTATTAGCTTTCTGTGATTATGTTTACTTTTCTTGTTTTACTTCTTTTTGTTTTCCCAGGAAATATTTGCTGCATTCTTTTGTATGCTCTATTTCCCAAGTGTCTACCACTAATTCATCACATTCTCTAGTAACTGGAGAACTCCCAAACACATAAACAAACATCATGTAATTGGGTTTTTTATTTGTGTTCCTTCACAATGATGTCTGTTCTGGAATATCGCCTACCTATTCCATCTGAGACTGGATTCTCTTTACATCTACACAACTTTTATTCTTGGATCTCTATTCACTACTATGAATTCCCTTCTCCTCTATGCTCTGTGGTAGTCTTTTATTTCTTGTATTTCTTCTCTAATTTCCTGCAAACTGGTCTGGTTACATGGAAGGTAAATTAAATCTTTGTATGCCTCAAACCCTTTTTATTTTCTTCCATTTCTGGTTGATTGATTGATTGATTGATTGATTGATTGATTTAGGGCCTAAATTTAGGATATAGATACTGTCACTTAGCTTTTTTCACTCAAGATTGGCACTCTTCCACTTGAGCCATAGTTCCATTTAACAGCTTTTTGGTGGTTAGCCGGAGCTAAGAATCTCACAAACTCTCCTACCGAGGCTGGCTTTGAACCAAGATCTTTGGATCTGAACCTGCTGAGTCACTTTCCATATTATTTTGATAGGTCAGCATTTGTAGAATTACAGATTTTAAATGATTTTCATGAGTCAACACAAGTGTCATTGATCTCTAACCTGTGGCTTCCAGCTGGGCTAATCAGCCTGACTAATGACATGCTGATCTTTGATTCACTGTATGTACATAGTCCAAAACATTAACAAGTACAGGGAAGGGAAAATATTTTTGTGCAATGATTTCAATGAGCTATTGTATATGTGAATTTTTATGTTCACATCAACTAGGATTGGCATCCAAAAAATATGTTAAATGAAGTAAGTTAGGCTCATGTGTAAAAGGTAGATCTAAATTATAAATATATATGAAAATATACAGGACCATATGCATATGTACACAATCAAACCAGCTAAATTTTGACATACACAGAGGAGGAATCCAGTAGTGTAACTCCTTTGAACAACAAGCTTACAGTTTAACAAAATGAATACTGGAAAACTAAAATGGGTTATTGGAAAAGGAGTTACAGGATGGGGGCAGACAAATGGAGAGAAGAACGGTGGACAAATACAGCCATAATACTCAATGTACATATATGAAAATGGAACTGGGTAGCTTGAGGGGCTGAGTGGAGTTGGGAGAGATTGGGGAGAATGATGGATGGAGTGATGTTGGTCAAGATGCTTTGTACTCATAAACTGACTTGTTGAGTTGAAACCCCTTTTCATAGCTGCTTAATTATAATAATAGAAATAAGAAAAACTAATTGCAATCAATGAACTTGCAGTTCAAAAGGCCAATTATCATAGATAGGGTTCCAGATGTAATTTATGTTGTACGTCATTTTGATTTATAATTTTGGCCATAACTAGGTGGATAATACCATTTAGGGCCCACTGACATATATTCATCATAGACTACTATACTTTAAGAGGAGGTTTATCTCTGACTAGATACGGAAAAGTTTGTACTCCATCTGGAGGCCACTGTGTCAAAATTCTCCAAGAAGTGTTGTGACTTTGGCTGCAGTAGCTCTCTCATAGTAGCATTTCGATCTTCATTTCTGAGAAATTCTTTGTACCATTGTTGGAAATGTCCTTCTTCTCTAGTTTTTTTCTCTTTCTATAATTTCTAGAACTTGACTGTTAGACATGGTTGATTAATGCTCTAGTTCTCTTATCACTCTCTTTTTAAACATTAACTTTCTTTTACATTTATGTCCTGGTTTTCATTTCTACTCCCATATTTCTAAAGTTCAGATGCTCTGTTGTATTCTTATGTTTTAGTTTCTTTTCTTTACTATTTTAACATCTCTTTAAAGCATCAGCAACAATTGCTAAGTTTTCCTTGGTTCAGGTATTTTTCTTACTTTTTTGCCCTTTGTATTTATTCTCGCACACACACATATGTATAAACATCTATACATGTATACATATACAGGTATATTTGAGATTGTATCAGAGGCTTTCCCAATTGTCTGAGGATCCTTGACTACCTATTATTTTATAAACAAGACTACAAAGTAGTTATTGGAAGCTCTTTGTGCCAGGCAAAGGAATGTAGGGGACTGAGGCATGGTCTAAGAGCTAGTCATGGGCCAATCATGGCCCACAAACTTATTGTCTCTTTTCTTCCAGGGTATAGAGATAACAGCTGCCTTGCTGGCTACTCAGACGTGGGGAAAGCATGTGAGAGGCTCACAACCTCTTGTATGCTCTCCAAACCACTCACAATATTCAGCTCTGGCTTTACCCAGCTTTCATCATTGTCAGCTGCCTCCAAGTCCTGAACACTTTTAGGGTCTTCGTGTTGGCTCTTCCATTGTTTGGCACGCATATTTTACCTTAGACTGTTTTTTCCTGCTTGTAAAAGTCACTCTCCAAATATCCTCTTTCCACCTTCTAAATTTTTCAGCATCTCCTGTTATTGACTGTCAGATAGGTTTTGTCATTATAGACCAACTTTTTTTGTTTTTCATTTTGATTTTTCCAGTTTAGTGGAGATCAAAGTAAACTGTTCACTCCTCCATGTTTACCTTAGGAGAAAGATTTTGGAGGGTATGTGAAAAGGAAAGAGGAGCAATTACTCACTGATTAGAATTGGATGTTGTCTACCAGCATATAAGAGACCAATCATGTCAAAGCAAGGGTATTTAAGGTAGAGGTCAATAAAGTAATGTGGTGAAGGCCATATTATTTCTGCCTCACTGTTTTCTACTGGAATGGTTAGCTAGCCTACATATTTGTCAGGATAATTATAAGTGTTTTTCAGTATTGGGGTTTGAAATTAAGGTCTTGTGTTTGCTAGGCAGGTGCTTTACCACTTGCACCACATCTCCAATCCTGAAAACAATTCTCAAACAAAATTTTTACAAATTAAGTTTCTGTGGATCTTTTAGAAAGCTAGATGCTAGAGCCATTATTTTGACACTCATGACTTCAGTCTCACCACTTAGTGGTGGGGTTTATTCTGGGTATTCTTGCAGAAACCTAAATCTGATTGCTATGATTTTTAGTAGGAATTTAAACCTCCCTCCATGGTTTCCTTAATTCTTCTACCAACAGAGCCTGTTAGGTCAACAGAATTCACACCTTTTCATTTCCTCAGATTTTGTTGTTCTACGGTCTGGTCTATGCTTTCAAAGCCACTGTGAATGTCTAGAATCCGGTCTAGACAGATATTCTGGGCTGGAGAGATGAGCAAAATTCACATCAATGTCAGACTCCTGATTCTGATTTCCTCACAGTTCAACTCAGCAGACATATAAATGGAAGTTATTTATCCTGAGAATTCAGATCTCATTACTGCTGAAATAGTAGAGAAGAAAAGTGCTACTGTCTTATATTTCTACCATTGCAGTTTGGTAGGTAATGAGGCAAGTCAAATCTAAACCCAAACAATTTTGTAAAAGGCTCTCAAACTTGAGATAATTTCTAAGGCTTAAAGCCATTACTAAATCTTCTTGCTAAAATGCAAGTCTCTAAATATTATGTGGAAAATTGGCAGTAAAGTTAGAAGCATAGTCTCCAAACTGGTCATCAACGAAAGTAGAAATAGCTATTTGTCTTAAGAAATGTAAAAATGTCACATCTTAGAAGCCAAAAGACTTGGCCCAATAACTCTATCCCCATTCCTTTCAATGTGAAAGTTGAGTAAGGTAATGGACTAGCCATAAGCTTTGAGTCATTTACAGAACAGTGTGAAACCCAGAAATGAGTTGTTCTTAAGAATTGTAGGAGTAAGGGGTTTTTGTAGAATTTTTGAAGATGATAGTTTTCTTTCAGCAATTTTGCAATAACTAGAGCTATTATAAAAGAGAAAGGCATCCCCAGACTACTACTATTTTACATCAACTGGACAGATAAGCCACAGACTAGACATCTAGCTTTCTGTGGTAATTCTATTTTTTCCTAAGATTGGACATAATACAAAATATGAGATAGGATTAGGTAAAAAAATGTTTCTTCTGGACTTCATTCAGTATGTATTAACTATATTTAAGTCTAATAATATTTCTCATTCCCCTTCTTTGACAAACACATAGACCATGATATATTGATATATCCAAGAACCATTCCTATTCATCATGAACTAAGGGAAAGGTATAAGCATTCCAATGAAAAATATGTTCCAATATAAGTCACTATATTATTTATATATAGGTTTTTTTCTTACTAAACTAGTCTTTTAATGCTGTTTCATGGATTAAAACAATTCCACAGGCACTGTTTCTTTTGACATGCTGGAATACCATAAAGTTATGATTATGCTTGCAGCCTGTGAAAATTCTTCAACTATGACCTCACCTCATCTGTGGGGTATCCTCAGTGCATGGCTACTGAACCTGAATTGTTTAAATGACAGGAAAAAAAACTGAATAAGCTTAAAGCTAAACTCCTTTTATGTCTTCCTTTTGAACATCCTGGCTAATTGTTAAACATCTTACACACTGTGTATTACCTCACAGCCATCTGCTAGGGCAAACCCTCCACCAACAAGAATAGCTATATCCCAGGGCATGAATGACTGGAATTCTTTCCAAGTAATCAGTGGAGAGTAATCAAAAGCAACTGCAAAACAAAAGCTTTATGGTTAAAAATTGCTTAAAATATGACTTTTCATAATGTCTATGTGTCTTGATCAGTGTTACCCCTTCCATCATTTTCCCCATCTCTCCTTCAGATACTATGTTTAAAGGAGGTATTTGATTTAATATGGCTTTTAAATAATTTTCACTTACCTTAGGTAGAATATTATATTATAAAGATGAAAAATCTATAACTTGGGAAAAATACTTTAATGTTTTGAAATATATTGAGGTAACTTATAACCTCCATTAATAACATCATTCATGCCTTATTCTACTGTTCCTGCTATGAATAATACAGCACCATAGGCTATATTTTTCTCTGTTACTCTTTTGGTTCCTCAATAGCATTAGTGTTATTCACTAATATTTATTTAGTATTTTCTTAATTTTTTTCAGACATACGGGAAATTGGAATGCCAGGTTCAAATTAAAGAATTAAAATATTGTTGAGTATTACCATGCTCGTGAAGCAATTATCATGAGGATTTTTCCAAATATTTGGCTTACAACTGGGCCATTGACTTCTTCATAGGTAAGTTAATTCAGGAGCACATTACCTTAAATTAACATTTGTGTGTAATCGGCAGGCTTGTACATGGAGACATTAAAAGGTTAGCATTAGCTTTCTTTCCTATCTCCTTTCTCCAAATCCAAAATGAAGTTGGCTTCCCTGATCATTGAAATTGTAAACTATCAATTTTCTTACCATATACCTGTAAGACCACATACCTTATCAAAATGCAAACCCCTCTGCACATGACATTTCTTTAAAATTTAAACTGTTATGTTCAACATTTCTAAAAGAACATATACCAGGGGAAAACAAGTTAAAGAATTTGTGAATATCCATGGGCCAGTGTGGCTCATGCCTGTAATCTTAGCTATTCAAAAGACTAAGATCCGGAGAATTGCTATTTGAAGCAAGCTCAGATAAAATATCCATGAGATTCTACCTCCAAAATAACTAGAAAAAAACAAACAAACAAACAAAAAATAGGATGCAGGTGGCTGAATGACAGAGCAAGAGGCTAGCAATGTAAAGTCCTGAGTTTAGACACCAGTACAGCATGTAAAAAAATGGAGGGAAGGGATTGTGGACAGGACTAAGAACCTTTCTGAGAGGAGATCCAGATATGGAAACCAAGGAAACCAATTTGTCCTCAATACTTGCCATATTTAGGGCTATGATCACAAGGGTTGCAATTTTTAGTCTCACAGAAATAAACGCTATATAATATCTCCTTAAAGCACATTAAGATATTCTAATAACCCCCTTTTCACTGTATTTGATGTTTGTATAATTTGTGGAGGGGAAGGGACAAAAAACAAATTGTTTAAATAGGATACGGGTGGACCCATTGCAACAATGAGATGTACAAGACGTTATGTCGAAAAACAAACTTTACAACTTTGGCAGGGGCGGAGGTTGGGGGGGGGAGTTGGGAGAGCAGGGATGGGAAGGGGAAACAAAGGAGGAGGCAACAATGCTTGATAAGAAATGTACTCATTTCCTTGTAACCCCTCTGTATGGTATTTTCACAATAAAAAACATTAATAAAAAATTTGAATTTGTCTATCAAAAATGAACAGAAACCATTTATTTCTATGTTATGCTATTCATGTATGATCACGTCCTGAAAATCTGACACATTAGACATTTAATGATAGTGCCTTGTGAAGTCAGGTGGGCCAACTTAACTGTAGGACTCTTGGTTCCATCAAGCTAAACCAAATCGAACCCAGAAAAATTCCACAACCACACTAGTCTATAATAATCTGTTTGTCCCACATTGACCCTGCAAGAATCTGCTTCCTGAATACATGCATAGATATTTCTGCTTAACACATGTGTGTAGGGGGAAATGTACTTATGAAGTCAGTATGTTTTTTGTCTATGTGAAGCAAATAAATGAATGCTTCCCTGAATACCTTTTCTTTCAGTTGTGACCCTAGGTTATCTTTATGTGGAATTGATTTGCTTTTCTTCTGAGACTATGATGAAGCTATAAATGCACTTTCTCTTGAAATAGACATCCCTTGAGTAAGTCCTTAGCATCCAAAGCTTTGGCATCACCATAGAGCAGTCTCATCTACATTCTTGTTTTTATGTTAGTTAGTAGTAAGATCAACTGTGTTTGTGGCAAGGAAATTGGGGTTGAAATAGGACAAATGCTGTTACTCACGGAAGTGTCCTAACCATGATGCATAATGAAATCTACTCATTTCCATAAACACATGATCCTTCTGTGCTGGGGCTTTGCTGTGTATAAGCAGGGCGTGCTAAGCCAGGGGTTGTATCAACACAGCCATTCCTTCTAAGTGCTAACTGAAACTGATGGGATTATATATGTATACATATAATTTTTTTCAGTCAAAATCAGAGTTACAAATGATACTCAACCTATTTCTCCTGTGGATGTAGTTTTAGTCAATCTCTTAGCTGGGATTAGAAAGAAAAGGAGTCCTATAATTAAGGCAACAGTTGAATCTGTAACAAAACCAGGATATCTGAAAAATAGCAACAACAACACAAATGTATATTAAAATAAACATTAAGAAATTACATAAGCTAAAATTGATTGACTATGCTAGTAACATTTAAATAACAGTGGTGATGTAGGTTCTACATTCTGGATAAACTGGACCCGAAACATCCATGGATTTACAACTGTTTACTTAAAGCCAGTCATCTCAGACATTCTATTATGTTGATAAATTTCTCCATATTTTCAATATTGCATATACAGATGCTGAGGTATCAGGCCAACAATGAACATTTCTCTTTTAGGACAATTTGTTACCCATTTTCCTCTTTTATTTATTTTTTTCAGTTTTATCAGCCAAAATTTTGATACTAAAATTGCTAGAGTAGGCAAAGCCCCCTATAATTGACTTATAACTTCCGTCTATTGAATTATGTCAAGACATCACTCTGCTAGAGTCCCCTCAAACTCTTCTCTACAGTGTGAATGGGAATTAATCTGCTTTCCATGATATAACACATACGTCTGCAGTTCTAGATCCTTGCCATATTGAAGAAAAGAATACATCCCATTTAATGCTTTAATTCTTCAACCAAGAATATTAACTATTGAAACAGATCATGAGATTCTCATAAGTGACTACTGTATAAATCAAAAGTGATTCAGGAACAGAGTTCTAAGAATCATCAGGCCAGTTTAGCAAAAAGACAAATTCCCAGTATCCTCAATTGTTAAGAAGGCTGGCGACCAGATATAAATGAAGCAGGCATAACTAATTAGACACAGGTTTTAGAAGTGCATTTTCATGGCCTGAAATATGTATACTGTAAGGATTATTTTCCTATCTTATAACTCAGTAATGTTTATATACTACAGAATATTAACAGAATTTACTTGAAACTGAACAGTCAGGGAAATGCTTTTGTTTTCTCACTGTAGCAGCTTTTAAAGCTGTCTGTTTCTCTTAAATATTGTTTTATTCTCTTTTTTTGTTATAACAGAATTTATTCTATAGACCTGACCAATAGTTGTAATTGTATTGTCTCCTTATTCTTTTATTTTACTCATAATTTTTGGTTGAGGTTTTTATTTTTTTTTTTACCCCTCCAAATTGGAGCAGGCATCATGTAACTGGATTTTGCTTTATATGAAAAGACATATTGAATTTCATCCAGGCTCAAACAGATGGAATGAAAACATTAGGTGGGAGCAATAAATCTTAATATATCATGCTAGATTTAGAAATGAAAATTGCCTAAAACCTGTACATGGCCCATATAGTCTACAAAATAAATACCTTAGGTAAAATCAAGGCATAAATATGGAATAATTTATTTTTGAAAGACTTGAAACTATAATTGTTATCTTATTATGGCTTATTATTAGCTTATTCTGATTTTCAGTTATCTAGGTGTTACTAGGTATTATGCTTAAATGTCATTTATTTGATTCGGGTTTGTCGATTTGATTTATATTATCAAGTCCTATCTTCTTTAAAAGCCTTCATTATCTTTCATATTGTCTTCTCTAAGAATGATAGGTAACAGGAACACCTGTCTGTAGCAAATCCACTGTTTCCCTGCTGTAAACAAAACACCTCCCAAATTACATTATCCTCCCACAAGAATAAAAATTAGAAGCTGATTATGTTGAATTTCCTGTTGGGAGTTTTGCCTAGTTTTTACTAGCTAGTGTCTGATGCCATTTAATTCTTATTGCACTAGTATTTAGAGAAAGGCTTTCACTATCTAGGATGGTAAGGGTCGAATTTTAAAAGTGAGGAAGTTATTTTTTACACTGGTTTATATTTTATTGTAAAAGAACAAAGAACCAATCTTTCATTAAACAATAACTTGCATTAAATAATCAGAGAATGCTTTTTGTTTTGACCTTTCAAAGTGAAAAGTTTTATTCCTAAGGGAAACAAAACATTTATGAAGCAAAAGCAATCTTCAAAACATGATTAATTTACAACATCGCTTGACTTGTGTGGTCAACAGAAACTTAGTTTCAACTTTTGCATGTTTTGAAAAGTATTGGCTATGCCTGTAAAATCAGAATTCTCTAATTTAGGAAGGAAGGACTTTCTCTATTCATATGGCCAGAATATATAAGACTCAAAGAATTTTGCTTGATGTATTATATATTTTACTTTCAAATTTTGTAGATTCTTGCTGAGAGATGTAAGATAGAAAGTCCAAGTCAGAAATTTGCTGAATTTAGGAACTAGAGTACTTCCGTGAAAAATAAATTGAGAACACAAATCTCAAAACCAAATTATTTATATTGACACGTAGGATGGTCCTTAATTTAGAAACTGTGCTGCAATCTCGCCTCAATTCGCATGACTCAGTCATGACTGCTGGTATGCATGATGCCGAGAGATAAAATTAACTCAGATTGGTTTCCAACATTCGTTTTTTAAAATCAGTCTCATTACTTATTCAGGAATTCCTTATCTACAAAATGGAGGGTGTTGGGCTGAATCTGTCATGAACTAGCATTAAACAATATACGCAAATGAAGAGAAAGAAGATAATGAATCCAGCAAATAGTCCTCCATACAAGTAAAGAACTGGTTTTTAAAAAAACAAACCTCTATGATTTTATGCCAGATTTATTAAGAGGTATCAAGTGGCATTTAACACGCAATACATGTTTAATTGTCACTTTCCCAGGGAAAAGAGCAGTAATCCATAGTTGCTACTATTGTCTCCATTCTATAGATGAATTAAGGAAGACTTCAGTGACTTGCTCAAATCAAGCTGAGGATCCAGGAATGGAACTCAAGCAAGGTGTTGTTCCACCACCACTTCTCCTAATCATATAGCTTATAGCCTTTCTCCTCATTACATTTCTCATTTGCAAGGATGGGAACAACCTTTTCTAGGAGTCCAGGTGTTTAGTTACAGAGTAAAATGCCTAATCCCTTCTGTAGTGTTACCTCAGACTGCATACCTTAAAAATCATTCTTCCCTGAAAAGATTAGCCATACAATCTTTTCAAAAGAAAAGAAGAATGGAATTCATACAAATTTTTCAAAGCTACAGGAACCTCTGAGAAGTAGAGTTTAAAACAGGCAGTTATCAAGCATTGTTAAGTCATGCTTACTGTGCAAAAAGTTCAGACCAACCAGCAATAAACCCTGGATTTCGACTGAACCATAGCAGAGCCATTATGAAGAAGAGGACCAAGGTTACAATTTCTTGATACCTGTGGAAAAAAATCCAGCACTGTCATTCCTTATTGTTCCAGTCAGAAGATTTATGAAAATTCTCTAAGCTATTATAAAGCATCACCTTAACAAATACAGTCAACTCTGTGAAAATAGAATGTGTAGAGACTCTCAACTTCTTGTCATTCTGCCTGACAAATTTTAGTTCTAGACAGTAGATGTATTTTGACATATCAAGTTATATTCACAACACTTGGCAAATCTAGGGCCCTAATCAAATATTACAAGTACTTCGCAGATGAATATGTTCTAATTTGCCTTCAATTACTTGCAGCATATTTTTTCCTTTCCTTCCCCACTCCAGCTCCCTTCCTCCACATTTCCCTCTCCCTCTCCTTTCTCTTCTCCATCCCTCTCCTGATTCCCCCCTCCCCCCCTTACCTCATTGGTCCAAGTTTTTCGTATTCTTGCTTAATCACATCAGCACAGGCTTTTTCTTTGAATGTTTTGGTCTTGCCACATTTAAACATCTCCTTAAAACTTAAAAAAAAAGGGTCTCTTAGATAAAATTTTGTTTCACCGCTCTTCTCCTTTATGAGACATATTTGTGAAAACTTTATGAAGCCTTCCGCTCCCTGGTAATATATCAATGTACTTTGCACATATCTCCTTTCTCTTTGAACCCCTTTTCCCAATTTTCTTTTTTATCTGGTTTTCTTACTTTACAATGCTTGATTTCTGTTGCCTGCTTTCTCTTTCTATACCCAAGTTTCCTTTTTTTTTTGTACTTCTGGAATGTTGACATGTGCCTACTTCATCACCTTATTATATACTTGATTATTACATTTTTAAAATATATGCATTATACATTTTAGTTTTTAATTGCTACACACGTACAAGTTTATCCCAGTAATTAGTAGATGGAGGATAGTGAGAGTGGCTATATTATTAATATTTCCTTTGACCCAAGATCTCTTAACACTGGCATGCACAGGAAATATTGGCTCACCAACTTAATAGTACCTTTGACAGATCTTTGAGATAATTGGTGTCAGAACTATCTATTTTTCACAAAGGTGTCAAACATGAGTTTATCCTTGCGTAAGAAAGTCACATATACTGATCCTAACCAAAGTCCTCCCTAGGCTTGTTCTCAGAAGCAAACAAACACGATTACATTTTTCCTATAAGTTTCTGCACCAACTCCCAATTAGCTCCCAATAAACTATCTAGTTTCTTTCCAGTAATAACTACCATTCTTTACTGTTTTAGCTGCTTGTTGTGGTGACTTCTTTTTGTTACTAAGTTTTCTGTCTTGATACCAAGTTCTTCAAGCCTTGAACAGTTTTTGTGGAGTACTGCTCTAGATGTAAAAATTCCTCCCGAGAAAAACAAATGATAGAAACATATAGGTTGGACTAGTTCTTGAGATGTAGCTTGGCCAGTTTATATTATGTGTAGGTATAAAAATAGGAATGTTTTCTTCTATAAAACTGATGATTGAGCATGCATATTTAGGAGAGAGTAAGTAGGAAGACTGAAGTGGCTAGAAGGTGATTATATGAAGACACATTTTATGCCTTATTTTTATTTTCATTTTCCCTCTAACTCTGCTACAGAAGCTTGTTTGTACTGTGATTCCCTTGGAAGAAGCAGAAGTTTTAAAATTCTTCATCTATCCACCTTAGATATTCATATTCTCACAGTCATGTATACCCCCAACCACTAAACATAATTAAATATTGCCATTGTGATCAATGATGAAATAAATCGATTTTACAATCTCAATTACTGATTTGGGCCAGTCTCCAATTTTTATCTCTCATCACAACATAACTACCACTCTATGAAACTAGTACATGGGCCTCCTTGAGAAATGTATAGCTAAAGAAAAAGAGAAGATTCTTAGAAACTGTTTTGCTACCCAGTCCACAGGATGGTATGCCTTGTCACTAAATAGTTAAGTCAACCAATTGTCTTTGTTGAAACTGAAGGTGAATGCTTTCACAAAGGAAGGAAGAAGCTTATGACAATGGATCTGCCTCTTTATTTAAACAAGTTCAGAGGCAATGATGGATGAGCTTCTCTCCCCAACTATGCTGGGGTCATTTATAAGGGATGAATTCCCTGTATAACAGCCAGTGAACTACTCAAAATGGATACTTGCCTGCCAGGGGAGTGGCTGATTCTTTGTCAGTCTAAAACCTCTTGAGGTGAACATCCTGGCAGGCTGAGAGGGACACTGAAAAATTAGCAGGGCCAGAAGCAGTGCAGTGTCTAACCAGTAGAGGACAGTAAGGGGGAATATTTAGCCATGTCACTGGTCATGCTTTATGGGCTTGGCCCCAAATCTACATTTCACAGGGGATTGGGATATTTTTACTCCCAAAGAGAACATATGTGAATGTATTTCTCCTATATCATCTCCTTTGTAAGTACCAGGCTCTTTAAAAAATAATAGCAATGACTGTGTGTCTCTCTGTGTGTGTTGTGTATATATTTACTTATTTAAAGCGATTCTATGTACAGAGAATAAAACAACTGTGGACCAGGAACTAAATACTTTCTATATTGACCTGAGATTCTGGGATTTGTTCCTCTTTATCCAGCCTTGCTATCTGATGGAAGAAGCCCCCACAAGCTTGGATTTCCTGGGAGGGGCATCGAGGATGCAGCTGGCCTTGCCTTCCTGCTGGCCACCTGCCGAAGTGAGTGACATTCTGCACATTTGCTCCAGCAGGAGAACTGTCTCATGCTGCTCCCACAATCTGGATAGAATGTTTTATTTTTTATTTTGAAATATCAGAGCCATCTTACCACTAATAACACAATTGGGTAGTTCTGGAGACTGATCAGGAAGAAGGGAAGAAGAAGGGAGAAGAGAGTATTGGTCCTTAGGTTATCAGAATTGGAAAATGAGTTCACAGCCAGGGGACGCACACCCTGCCATAGTGTTTTGCTTTTCAAAAGAAGAACAAATAGCTGATTTCAGTCTAGCTGGTTTGGTGAATAATACTCTTGTTTGATTTGTAGGTCCTTGATATTGGTTCATTAAAATGCTGTAAAAAATGACTTTCCATTGTCTTTTTTTTCAGGGAGGGAAAAATTCCCTAAGGCTTGCTATAAAGCTATTTTGACTTTATTTGTGGAATATTATTGAATAAATGGACAATAACAGGCTGTGTTGTAGGTTTTGTGGGGGAGTCCTTCATGATTTTCAGGGCTGGCTGTTAACTCATGTACCTCATTGGTGCTCATGAGCTGCCAGTTTGAAACCTAGACAAAGCACTATGTTCAATTTATTTTCAAGTGCATTATTTGACATTTCAGTGACCTCATTAGATCCTCGTTGATCAGTTTCTTACTTTGACTCCTGTTTGTTCAACTTGGATCCCTTTGGCCTGGCAGTGCTCTTACTGATGAGGGATTTGTTTTGTTTTTTTACTGCTTTACTCTGGAAGACATTCTGGCCTGAGAGAAGCCACACTATTGTCCCTGGCCTCTAAATTCTTCTGCCCCTTCTTTTTGTTTTAATGCCACTTTTCCTAGCATGTATTAGTTAACCATGCATGCAATGTACCCTACTAAACACTTGCTATCTGTTTCCCTCATCCCATTGCCCTGTTCTTAAAACAATTTCAAAAATGTTTTGGTGTTCTATATTTATTACATGTGTGTGAAGTATTTAATTCAATATATCCTTTCACAGAGAATATTCTCAGATCTTTATTTTACTTCTTATAAAAGATGGTAGCAATTTTGATACTAGCAGAAAGCAGGAAGCCCGGCATGTTACAGTTCAAAATAAGTTGATAATCCATGCATGTCTCCATATTAAATCACGTGGAGGAGCAAGACTTCTAAAACTTCTACATTAACAACTTGGATTGAAACATCATCGTAGTGAGTTCCTTATGCCCTCCTGGTCTGTTTCTATCACACTAGTTTAGAATTCAGTGAATACTATATGCTTTCTCTATATTCTTTTCCATATCCAACCTTGTTTCAACTGGAAGAATCCAGCTTGCCTTTAAAACATATGTTCACTTGTGTTCTTTTCATGCAAGTAAGAAAGCAGTGGAAATGGGCATTGAGAGAAGACATAGGTGAGGAGCACTGGATAAGGAGCTGGGAACTTTTGCTTTGTGAATGTAAAGTCTTTACTTACTTGAATCCTAGGAAAAGCCACTGAAGCCAGATCCAGGATAAGACAAGAAGAATAACAGCAGCCGGGAAAGAAAATATAAACCATGATCCAAAGTTGAGGCACTGACATTCAGGGTAGCGTCTGTGTGGGATGGAGAGAAGAAATCAGGGAGGAGGGAAGTGGGATTCTTCCTGATGGAAGTCCATCTCTCCTGTGATATTACCCAAGAAGGAAATCCAGAAAGAGGCTCACCAGTACCCTCAGCAGCTAGTTCCCTCGCTCTCCTGTCTCCATTGTGTAACTTTGCTCCATATCCCCAAAACCAGAATGGGCATGTTGTGATTATTTTTTTCTCTTCAGTCAGTCTCTAAGGAAGTACTTGCAGAAAAAAAAACCTGATGGTTTGGGGGCATGGAACCTGGTAGTCATTAAATGCCAAGAAATGGATGTGCATGGACAGCTTGTTACTAGTAATAGTAACAAGGATTTTTGTGAGGAAAGACAAATAAGCAGGCTTCAAAAACAGGTGAGAATTAAAGCACAATTTTACATTAGAAGCTGGCATCCTTGGCATTTACAAAGGAAGTCGGCTCCAGTCCAGATCGTCTCCCATTGTTGTGCTTTGCTGTTTCTTCTGCCCCAAAGCATACAACCACTTTAGCAACTATGTGATAGCCCTTTCCTAACTTTGGATGGTGCTTTGGGATCCATTCACATGCCTAGAGTTATTACTCTGGGCCAGATTAAAAAGTGTAAACATTTCTGTGGAAAACATCAATGTTTTCTTTATCTCTTCTAGTTATCTTCAATTTTTTAAACTTATACCATAAAACAATAGCAATGAAAATATAGTCAAATACAAGCACCAATGTCTTTGAAAATATTACACTATGAATTTCAAGTATAGTTTAAAAACCAAATAAGTTTTCATGTAGGCATTTGTTTTTAACCATAGTGTTACATTAGGAAATTTGAGAAGCAGTTGGTAATGCGAGTTGGAAATCTGAAAAATACAGATATAATAAAAATATCATTAACATATTTTTTGTATTTTTGAAACAAGAATATAAAAATCTTTAAATGCATACCGATTTTGAATTCTTATTCTATTTAGATCAGACCTTGTATTTTGCTACTTAAAAATGATCATGTGGGCCAGGTGCTGGTGGCTCACACCTGTTATCCTAGGTACTCAGGAGGCTGAGATCTTAGTATCACAGTGCAAAGCCAGCCCAGGCAGGAAAGTCCATGAGACTCTTATCTCCAGTTAACCACCAGAAAGCTGGAAGTGGAGCTGTGGTTCAAGTAGTAGAGTGATCACATTGAGCTGAAGAGCTGAGGGACAATGCCCAGGCCCAGAGTTCAAGCCCCACGACCCACTCCCCTCCAGAAAAAAAAAAGATCATGTGGCTGAGCATGGTATACCCTTGTAATCCCAGAATTGAAACTGAGGAAAGAGGAACATGAGCTTCAGGCTAACCCAGGGTACCTATCACTTATTTGAAAAACAATGATATAAAATGATATAAAAAATCCAGTATTTCAAATTACAAACATACATGTAAACAGTTTTACTATTTTAGGGTAGTTTCTAAGTTTCCAAGGCTTAAAAAAAATCACAGTAAGTTTTCAAAAGCTCTAGATTTTGTTATGTTTTCTATAGTTTTCTTTTAGCTTATAGCTATTACTAATCTTCGTGAACCCTAGAGTTATCAGTTCAGCTTGAGGATAATTTTTAATCACCTCCAAGAAATCCAAGGATTATTTTACTTATTTATATATTTAGGAAGTAACAATGTTAGGAAACACATAGAATTAGGAGAATGGAAAAAAATTGTATCCACAATGCTCTATTAAAACTAGTTGATATTTGAAATTTTTCTATAGCCTTTAGCTGGAAAATAAAATACAAAGAAAAAGCTTAAGCTGATTTTCTATCCATTTATTAGGTGTGGATTATTGAATGACCTGTGTGAGTTGGTCAAGGCTACAGACACTTGGAAATACTTCATGGATTAGGTTCAGAACAATGCCTCTAGCCGAATTTTGTTTTTCACCATCTGTAGCTCATACCTTTGGAGTCAGGCTGCATTGCTTTTCCCCATCACTGGAGAAAACTCTCATAAAGTATGTTTGAAGAAGAGCTTTCCAGAAATTTTGCCTGCAGGGATACTTCATTTAGAAAATTTGAAATCCTCAAAATTAAACTTTGTTTTTGTGGTTATCTTTCCCATGGGAAAGTTAAGAAGTATAAAAGTAAGCACGTAGAACTGTGGTCCGGTGATTTTGACCTTAGCACACCCGTAGAATGAATATTCTGAATAAAGTGCTTGAGGGATTATTTTTGTTCTTTCCTTTCTTTCCTTGAGTTTTTCCCCTCAAATTGTCCAAATGAAGAGATAGGAAAGTAGCTTAAAGAAACTATTGATATTTTCTATCATAAGTTAGCTAAGAAATTCAATTCTGATAAAGTTCTTTTCTTCCACCTAATCCTATGTTTTATGGTATCTGCCTGAAATATTATAACCTGGAGGAATATTAATGTCAGGTACTCTTCTAACTATTGGCTATACAGTGGTAATGAGACAGACCTGGTCCAGACACTTACAATGTTTACACTGAAGTAAGGTACACATAAGAAACAATTAACCTTAACACTGGAATAGAGAATAAAATAGAATAGCACAATAAAAATCATCAGGGGAAGGGAGACATTCTATATACAACAGTAAGAGGAGGCGATACTTAAGGTGAGTCTACATAGCTACAAGGAGGAAAGATACAAAGAGGAGTATTGGCAAAGATGCGGAGAACAAGGAATTCTTGTCCACTGTTTTCTTGAATGTAAATTTCTATAGCCATTCATGTTATGCCACAATTTCACTGGGCTGATCTTCAAAGGAAATGAAATCAGACCTCTGCCCTCCCATGTTTATTGCATATTCATTCACAAGAGGCAAGAAACAGAATCAATCTAAGTGTCCATCAGCTATTGAATAGATTTTTTTTAAATGTGATACACACACAAATAAAATTCAGTCAGAAAAAGGATGAAAGCATTTCATTTGAAAAAGAGTCATTTATGGATGGACCCAAATGGTATCAAGTTGAGTGAAATAAATGAGGCACAGAAAACGAAACACTATCTGATCTCACTCATGCAGGAAACCTAAAACACTAGAGCTCACAGAATAAAGAGTAGAACAGTGGCTTTTAAAGGCTAGAAGAGCAGGAAGAAGAGAGAGCCGTGGGGAAAAGTTGGCCAGTGAGGACTAAACCACACGTAGATAGGAAAATAATTTCATGTGCCATTGTATGAATATAGTAAAGTGAATATGGAGGATACATTTTATATTTCAAAAAAGCTAGAAAACAAAAATTTTAATGCTTTATTGCAAAGAACTAATGAATTTCTGAGGAGATGCAGACACTTCTATTTGGACATTATACAATGTTCATCTGAGATACCACCTGGGTCCCATATAATATGTCCAAACTTTAAGGTGTCACACACTTCAGGTGAGGTGTAAAGATAAAGAGAAGGCAATAGATTTTAGATGTGAGAAATGGGGAAAAGATGCCATTGACTGAAATAGTGAAGTCTGAGAGTAGAACAGCTAGCAGGGGACAAGAAGGCTAAGAAGGAGTGTAGGGCACAAATTGAGAAGGCTCTTGGGAGCCTACTGACTTGAGATGTCCGTTATTTTTCCAAATGATCACATTGGACAGACAGCTGAGTGTAGAATTAAGAAGAAAGAGCAGAGACAGAGATGGAAAGTCAGTAGTTATCAATGCACAGACGGTATTTTCACATCCACAGTATTAGGTAAGAAAAATCAGGGAGAAAATGCAGTTGAGATGTAAAGAGGGTCAGATAGAGATGTCAATGGCACTTGTAAGTTCTAGAGCTCAAGCACAAGCACAGAAATGAGCAGATGAACTAAGCATTCTTAATTCCAATCAAAATCCTGCAAGCAACGCATTGTACTTCCATTTTACCCAGGAAGAAGCTGTGTCTCAAGGAGCTAAGTGGATTGTTCAAGGCCATAGATGGTACAGTCTCGCTGGATTTTGTAACCCAGGAGGAGTTTTAGTTTAAAACACAACTGCTTTTCATTAAGCATCTGTGACCCTGACTGGCTCCCAGCGGAAAATAGAGAATTCCACGTACATTGTGAAATAGTCATAAACTTGTAGGTTTAATGTACATTGAAAAATAGCTACAGAAATAAATGCAGCATAACAAAAACGTTACCTTGACCTAGGCATGTGTTCCTAAGTATTGACATTTAGGAAGAAAACATCATCATTGGAAATCTTATGACCAGTTAACCTTCCTGTAAAGTAGATAACTTTAATTCCAATGACATACAGAATACACAGAAATGGCTTCAAAAGAATGGACGTAGGCATGCAAATGTACTTACTCTAATAGATTTGGGCCATTAGCAGTTATGATAAGCTGGTGTCTACATTGATTACAATCATTTTGGTTAGTGACTTTTAAAAAGTATTTCTGAGCACAGAGAGACTCAGGGACAAAGCTCAGGCCCTGAGTTCACGCCCTAGGACCAGCAAAACAAAAAAAAAATATTTCTGAGACAAAGCCACTTTGGTTTTTGTTTTTTTTAATTTGAGTACTTCCAGGAGTTTCTTTTCAAAAATATTAATTAGTCATGATTCATGAGCTAGGCCAAAACTTCCAACCACAGTGGCCAAAGAAACAATGACAGCAGCCAGCACAGTGGACATGTTACTAATGTGGCAAGCCCTCTACCACAGCCAATTGCTTTCAATAACTTTCAGTCATTACGGTATTAAGTTCTAGTATCATCCCAACTTTATAGATGAGGAATTAATGTTCACAGAAGTGAAGCATTTAGCTTTATTATTGCAGGCTTGGAATCTGAACTCTGGTTCTCATTCAAACTTAAATGTGGGGATGTGTTCAAATGATTTCTGCCATAGTTGTCAGAATTTTTTCTGCAAAATGTTTATTGTTTATTTCTAGAGAGAAAATAATTTTTCTTCGAAAGATGACAATTGCTTTACTTTGACTCTCTCTCTCTCTCTCTCTTTTTTTTGGGTTGGTTGTGGGGCTTGAACTCTGGGCTTGGGTGCTGTCCCTCAGCTCTTCACCT